GCGTGTGCGTATACGGCACGCCATTTTACTATTTAATATCATCATAAAAATTATATCAAATTAAATCGATACTCAAAGAAAAAAAATTATTATTATGTCTAGACATACTTATAATTTATCGAATTATTATTAAGCTATAATTGAAAATGCAGAATTACAATTACGTCTAGACAAAATATTAATTCTGAATTTATTTTACGTTATGACATAAAAAATTTTCGGGAATTAAAATTATGTACTGTGACGTGACAAATGTTTCATGTCCCTTACCCCAGATGGGAGCTCGGCCGAGGGAGGCGTCAGGGATGGTGCCTCCGCCCGGGACGGGCGGAGAGCGAACATTTAGGTTAGGATTCAGATCTCTTGCGAGCGTTACAGGTCGAGGGAGTGCGGAGTAGATGGCCAGGGACGGAATGTAACGGCGTATGCCGCGTCGAGGGACTTACGGCTGGACAACCAGGAGCTTCCGAGGGCGTACAGTCGGCGGGCGGGTCACGCTGGGGCCCACAGCCGGAAAATCAGCTGACCTGTCAAGGCGTCACAAGCGGCACGAGAGCACTGCAGCCCAAATACGGAGGACCCGGAGAGGGGGACGCCCCGACGAAGGTCCCCGTTGAGGAACGGGGCCACCACCGGTGTACCGCCCCGGTCGACGAGCCATGGCCCGGCCAGCCTGGCCGTCGAGGAACCGGACGATGAGTCGCGGCCTGGACAGCCGGTCTCACGTAGGCGGACTTTAAAACTACCGCCGGCGGATGGGAGCAGTGACAAGGGGCGCTCTAGTAGGGCGCGGCGATCGCCTAGAGGGATCGCTGGCAGGCCAGGGCGCAGCACCGACCAGGCTAGGGAAACCGGCGCGCGCGGGCCTTGCGTGGTCCCGCCGGACCAAGGGAACGCCACTGTCGTGCGAGCCGCCATCCCGGCAACATCCAGCCCTGCGAGCCGAGCGACGAGCTGCCGGAACAGGAAGAATTTGTAAGGCCACTACTCAGCCCTCCTCGAAGTAAGATCGCGGTAATACCTAGGCCCTCCCGGGAGTCGCGTTGTGCCGCGGTAATGTATGAAATCAGCCGTAATTGAAGAATATCGAGTGCCATACCGCGGGAGGGCCCGTGCGAAGTGATCGCGAGTGCCCGTCTCGGGGATGAGAACGTACGGCCGCCGACAGTCAGCGTGATTGTAATTTCGTCGCGTGGAATTTCATGATCGCCGTTGGCTTAACCGTGCCGTAGTTTTGAGAAGTGGCTCTCGCGCGTGAGAGAGCATCGTAGTTATCGTTGCCGGTTAAGTTCGTGCCATTTGTAATTAGCTATCCGTGCGTTTCATCGGGATTAATGGCCCAAGGTTATATCGAGTTTACGGGTGAGGCCATTCGTGCGTCTCGAGGGGCGAGAAGATCCCCAGCGTTGTCGCGGTAGACCGTAAGGAAATTGCGCTAATTGTTTAATTGTTAGACGTAGACGTTTCGAGTATTTCGCGTTTGACCGTCCGGGTAGAATTCGCTGCAACTTATGTCGGGGAATACTCTTGTACGAATTCAATCGGGATTGCCGTGCAGTTCAGCGACGGAATGAGTATCGCGCTCGTGGGGTGACACGTGGCGCGTACTCGAATTCTGCTTGTTCGCCGTGGAACAGGCTATCTTCCACATGTTATCTGCCTTAACCGAAATATAATTTTATGTTTTCTGTTATTTGAGTGTGATGATTGCGCTACGCTCCCTCTCCTATTCCACCCGCGGTTAATCAAAGAAGCCCACGCCTGAGAATACTGCGATCTCGTGAATCGTGGTGCGAGGAATCGCACCTGGCGCCCAACATTACATCTTAAGAACACTCAGTCGAGCTACCATCGGGGTTTTGGAGAGAAGTATCGCAAATATATATAGAGATCTATAGTGAAGAAAGCGACGGCGCGCTCTTCCACGGCCGGCGAGACCGTGAGGACATCGTCGTCGTCGTCGCAGTACATAATTGTAATTCCCGAATTTTACTTATGTACGCAATTTTAATACTTGAATTTCTATTATGTACGCACAATCGTAATTCTGTAATTACTTTTTTTCTTTTGGTAAGTAACGGGGTTCTTTAAGAAAGAATATCTTGATAATAATCTTAAAATATATTCATCACAAATTTTAGAAAAAGTCTATCATGTACTGAAAAAAAGAATTTATACTCTTTCAAAGAACATTATACAATTTTATCAAAGAAAAATCAAAATAATAAGCAAATCGAATTTTTGTTTTAATTTTATATTTTTAATTGAATAGTTAAACAATTAGAATTTAGAATATTATTTGTTTTAAATAAAGAGAGTGATGAGTGTATTTTAAGATTATTATAAAAAAGAAATATTCTTTGCGAAGATGACCGTTAAAAGAAGGGAAATAGAGTAATTGGTTTTCTTAGCACTATTATGATATTTTTTGCGTGTGAATTGTGCATGAATAGCAATTGCGATATAAGATCGCTGTTGCGGCCACAATTAGAATGTAATAATAAAATAAGAATAACCGAGAATAACAATAGGGAACGCGACCGCGAAAGCCCGAGAGAATTACGCAACGCCGAATCAGCAAAAGATGAGTTGCGCGATCGGCCCAGATACGATCGAGCAACTCAGCGATATTGAAGGACAAGACGAGGATTGAAAAGAAAGCGACAACAGGAGACGAGGGCAATGTGTGTCGGGCAGCGACAAACGAGTCTTGTACGAAATAAGTAGTAAAGGAGAAGTAACTAGTAAAAGTCGTGTTTATTGCATCCAAAAGTGTTAGTCATTTGCCTCCCGCCTCCTCCTTGGAAAGATCGAATCCCAAGTGTCCCAAAAAGGGGCACAACAAATGGTGGCAGCGGTGGGATCCATTGGCAGGACGGGAACGGCAGCTGAAACAGAAAAATAAGTGAATCAGTGAGGCAGTGCAACATCCTCAACGGAGACACAGGCAGCCAGATTCAAAAACAGCGGACAACACGGTAGCGGCCGACGAGGGATAAACGAGCAGCGTAACCCGAGAAGGCGCCGACCTACCTCAACGGAGGCTCACCGACAGATAAGGCGGCACGAGCACCCACCAGCAACATGCGACTAGCGACCGTAATGTAAGTCGATTAAGCAAAGTATGTAAAGCGCAATCACCGTAAATGTCGGAAAACGAAAATCCACCTGCGGAACTAAACCAATCGTGGCTCCATAGCGAGACGTCACGACGAGCGCGTAGAAATAGACCGCTAAGCCCCGTGCAAACGACCAAAGAAGGCGTAAGTGATAATCGCGAAACCGTGCGTAGAAATTTAGACGCGTACTACTCAAGCGAAAGCGAATCAGAATCGGAATTACACCCGAACAGCGTAATCGAACGCAAACCAATCGACGATTCCGTTATAATTTTAGACGCGAGAGTAATAGGACAAAATAACTGCCCCGACGAAAATAGACTCTACCCCTCACACGCGCACGCACAATCCGAAGACGCGAACAGTACGACCAGTAGGCGAACACACAGACGAGAGTTCTCATTGACCTCGTATGATAGCAGCGTATTTGACCCGCAAGAGTATTATTCTGCCCCGAGACACGTGAACGTAATTGAGATGGCGGAAGCAACAAATAGCAACCACGACGCGAATAACGTAAATGACAACGCGCCGATAACCCCAGAGGAAATAGACGAAGAAATAAACCGTCTTAATCAAGTGCTATCACAAAGAGGCACCCCGGCAAATCACCGTAACCGGATACCCGCACGGGCCGAACCGCCGCGAGACGATAGAGATTCCATTCTCGACGAGATATTAAACGGAATCCGCAACTTACAAAATCGCGTAAATCAACTAGAAACGGCGAATCCTGAACGCCGCGAATTTCACGCGAGACGCGAGCCAAGTAACCTCCCGTTCGAAGTAACGTACGGAAGAACGTCATATGATATTCGGAACCAAGCGGAGCGCGCAATCGGATATCTACGTTTAAAAGAGGCACGAGACATGATACCTGAGTTCGACGGAACCTCGAGTAAATTACAAGAATTCTTAAGCGCCGCGTCATATGCAATGAAAAACATAAATCCTATGGAAGAAGGAACGCTATTAGAAGCAGTGCTATGCACAAAGCTAAAAGGAAGAGCGATGATAGATTTTCAAACGCGAGAGATAAGAGATTTCGCACAACTAAAGAAGGAATTAGAAGTTTGCTATTTGAGCCGCAAAAGCACAACACACTTACAACTAGAGTTTAATACACTCAAGCAAAAACCCGGAGAAAATGCAAGAGCATTCGGATTAAGAGCCAATAAGCTAGCGATGGAGCTATACGACTCCATGATAGAGGGAAGAAATCACACCATAGAAAGCAAGCGAACTATATTAGAAACGATTCAACAACAGGCATTACAGAATTTTCAATTAGGATTGAGAGACGAGATCAAGTTACTTGTCCGAGCTCAGCATTTCGCAACATTGCAAGAAGTGATTGCCGGAGCGAGCGCCGAAGAAAAAGTAAACGGGCCGAGTGGAATTCCGCCGCGTCCCAAAAATAATTATGCGTACTCGCCGCAACCGCGCGATAACCGATCGATATTACAATGCCAAAAATGCGGAAAATACGGGCACCTTGGAAGGGAATGACGTACCAATAAATATGCGAACCGTTTCTCCTTACCGAAACCCGATAGGACACCCCGCGTAAACGCGATAGATAAAGTCTGCAATTACTGCAAGAAGGCAGGACACATGCGCGAAGAATGTTGGTTGTTAAATGGTCGACCAAATAGAGAAAGGACGAACCACAACAAACCTAATAATCCGCGAGGACAAAATAAAAATTTTCACCCGAAAACGAATGGCCCGAGAAAAAAGGACAGTAATTCAGCCGCGAATAGCGATGAGGAAGATAAAGAGGACACAAAACAGCGCCGACCGGCGTTAGAGTATCAGGTGTCACACCTGACGAACAAGCCGCGAAAGCATGCAGGGCTGGACTTAGGGTGCGTTCCTTTTGGACGCTTACACGCTTAAAGCGCTTATAAGCGTTGCTTACGCTGTTCCTTTTGGGGCTGTGAGCGCTTGTAAGAACATTGATGACGTCAGCGTAACGTCATAACTCGTGCTCACAAACGCTTATTCCATCGAGGTTAGGGCAGCGAAAGCGTGTCGCATCGGTAAGAGCCTAACCAACAAATTAGCACAGCTACGTAATTACATGCAAGCAATTAGATAATTTTCATTATGCATATGATTATGCAGCTATGCAAATTTGTCTGAATAAATTTTAAATGAACGTTACTTTTCACGTTTCATTCTCTTTATAAGACGAATATTCATAACTCTTTTAATTTTTATCGTGAACAGCATTGTGAAGAAGTTGATAAAGGAATTGACTCTCGGGGAATACTCATCGTACAAGCTCTTTCGTACGTTTCAATACGTAAGTATTAATCTTAAATTTAAGTTAGATGAATACATAACCTTAAACTTTAGTCAATGCAAAGAAAATCTTATCATAGGCTGTATAACCGATGTTATAATTTTTTTTGTATTGAGTATTTTGTATTGACTGACATTCCGCAAATTCGCTAAATCCATTGCGTGTGGATACTTCGGATATCGTTGCTTGTGCTAAATCTTACTACCGACCTACAGATCATTTGTATTAGTCTTAAGAGTTGTATTAAGTTCATTTTTGTGAACGAAAGACTCTTCTCTGAGTCCTGCCCATACTACTTTTAAAATCACGTTCCTTTTCATGCACAATTTGTTTTATATTAAACAAACATATTCCTATTGGGCATCGTTAATTAAACTCAAACATATTTCTCTATATAAGTTATTTAACTTATGGAACTGTCTCGACAATATTTAATCTATATAAGTAACTTGTTAATTAAAATCTTTTTTACAGAGTTATAAGTGCCATACAGAGTTTGTAAGTGCCTGAAATATGGACTTCCAAGAGGAACAATATATAATTGATGGTGTTATATATAACATTACGGAAACTCCCCAAATTCATCAAAGACTTCGAAGTGGTAAATTGAATATATATGTATAACGTAATATTTAATTGAACAAATTTTGTTAAAATACAAAATTAGTATACCAAATTAATTATCTAATTTTACTTCTCAAATGATCTAAAAATGTGCATGTACAAAGTTCGTCTTATTACAGATCCTGATTTTGCACAACAATATATATACGGAGCTACCTCTCAATTACAATCCTCTGTAGAAACTAATGAAAGTAAGTGAAAAAAAATAAAATAAAATGTATATGTAAGTTTATATATTAGTTATGTATGTAATATTTATTTAATAATAAATTTATTTATAATTTCTTTATTTAGATAAAAGTATTAATGAAGAGATACAGGATATTTCCAATAATAATACTATCGACGATAATAATACTTCCGATAATAATACTAACAATAATGATACTATCAAAGTACACGAAAAATTGCACAATACTTCAAATGAAGAAATTGGAGGTACTTTTCATAACTTTTTTACTAGTAACTTTATATAATAATTTCTTTTTTTAAATACAATTGTTTTTATAGGTTTCAAATGGCCACACGAAGCTATTCTATTATTGATTGAAGAATATAATATAAGACAAAATGATTTCGTCAGTGGAAGAATGTCTCATAAAAAAGTATGGGGCGAAATTGCGGGCGAAATGATGAAACATGGCCATAATGTGACAGGATTACAATGTTTGTCTAAATTTT